CGCGCACTTTGAGTCCTGTGGTCGTGGAGTTGTCCAGCTTGAGATTTGGTTGAAGACTGCCTTCTCGTCTCCATTGTGTCACACCCATGGTTGTCAAACCGGTTTCATGCCGGCCGGTTCAACCAGGTTCAACCAGTCAGCAACCCGGCTGGAAAGGGGCCGGTATTTAACTGTGGTCAAATCCGGTCAATGCTGGTCAGATCCAGGAAATTCCGGCCGGTTAGACCAAAAACCGGAATTTAATATTACACACATTATATCCAAAAATAAACATCTTCCATAGGATTTGAACCAAGTACCTCATGTTCAGTTTAGTTTAACTTATACACCAGTAGGCTACAAGCAATTTTGTTGTCTATATTAACCTTATAAGTTATATATCTACTACTAAATTTTACACAAATCACTATAAACATTGATAAAATTCATTTAATAAAATTTTATTTTTAAGCATCTAATTGTTTAGTATTAGTTACCAATTCTTAGCTATAAATTATTTTGTGTGAAATAATTCTTCTAATTGCTTTTTGATGACTAATTTATTTGGAATTGAAGATTTCCATTTTCCTCATGTATTTTATTAAAACCGACACAACCGACATGAATACTGGTTGTACCACGGTCAGACCATTCCACTTACAAAACCGGCACACCGGCATAAACAGGTTTGACAACCTTGGTCACACCCAATATGTTGCCACGAGCCATTGGGAATTGGCCTTGACAGGCTTGGGCATTCTTACAACGGAACCCCTTCTTTGGGTCCTTGTCATCTCAGCCACTGCTACTGGTTGCTGACGACGAGCATCATACGTATGCCATCCACCATGTGGAACATTTGACATCTTGAATGTTTTCTTCTTTTGGAAAGGAGCATGGGCCACCCATTGTATCTGATGTCCCCAAGCTGGTTGCTTCACTCCTTCCACCTGTCTCTCATACGACGGATACTTAGGCCTTGGCTTGTTGGGAAGACCAATTCTTTGATGAATTGGAGGCCTCGGTTTCTCTCCGTCGAGTTTGAGACTCTTCTTGCATTGGGCGCACAACTTGTCAACTTCATCAGTCATCACTGCGTCCGGGTTGTCCTCCTTGGTACCCGACGAGCTCCCTTGCTCGAACACCACATTGGGGCTCCTTTGGAGAAGTCTGGGTTGACCTTGTTGACGCCAAGCACCTTGGGGAACGGATTAGTGTCCACCAACATGGCATCCTTCTTTGCCTCAGGGAACTTGATGTGTCCCTTATCAATGGCATCCTGCAAGACATTACGGAACACCGCACAATAATCAGTGGCATGTGACATGCTATTATGCCACTTACAATACTTTTTTCCTTTTACTTTCTCCGCTGAGGGAAAGACATGCACCCCTCTCAACTTGACTTGACCATACTTATAGAGTTGGTCAAAAATCAAGTCTGCATTCGATACGTCAAAGAAGTACTTCCTCGGCTGAATGGCAGCACGATTGGGTCTCCCACCTTGTGGTCCATCTTCAACTTTAGACAAGGAAGCACATATATATGGCTTTGCTGGAGTTATCTCAGCCAAGTCTACCTCAACCTCATTGGCCTCGTGGCCAATATGATTGATGGTATAGTCTAAGTTTGGGAATTATGGTCCCCTTGATGCACTTCTACGATTCTCTTCCTCATGTAGAAGAGACTCATACCTCACGGCACAAGACATGAGTTGAAATAAATCAGAGAACTCCCTATCTTGGAATTTCTTCCTTAGTTCAAAACTCAAACCCCCTTGTGCCAGCTTGACAAACTCCCTCTCCGTCAAATTAACAAAGCAACGGTTACAGGCATTCTTTAAGTTAGTCAAGAAATGCTCAACCGATTCCCCTGCTGTTGGCGCATACGTGCCAAATTAGCCATGGACACCTCGGGCTCAGATCTTTAAAACTGAGCATGGAAGACTTGCTCCATTTGTTGCCAAGTCTGGATGGAGTTAGACGGCAAGTTGACGTACCAAGCAAAAGCTAGCCCTGTCAACGAGTTGCCGAATAGTCTTAACTTTAAGAAATCTCCTACATCGCCACATTGGACAGTGAAACGTCCAACATGCTCTACAGTAGACTGATCTCCAGTCCATGTGAACGTGGCAAACTTAGGGACCCTGAATCCTCTTGGAAATGGGTGGAGCCTGTCTACCCATTCTAGGTACGACTTACGGTACACAGGTGGCATTGCAGGTCTTATTCCCATGCCAAACTACTCCGTGAGGAGTTGAGCCACTTGATCCCTAAGGGTGTTGGCTTGATGCCCCCCTTGTTGCCCCCCATACGGCACAAACCCAATGGGGTCCATGCCATGCCCATTGAAATGGGGTGGCGTTGGAGTTGGGTCGCCTCGTGGTTGGATGAGAATTGAATGCACCTTGGATGAGAAAACTTGCTTTGAATGAGAATTGAATGCACCTTGGATGAGAAAACTTGCTTTGAATGAGAATTGAATGCACCTTGACTTCTTTGGACAACGATCACTAAACACCATTCACACCTCTTCAAACACAGTTCGAACGAGGGTGTTCGATGTTTACACGACTCTCGAGACCGATCTACATTAAGTTAACCCTACTCCTATCGAGGTTCTGAGAGAGCTCCAAATCTACGACTACTCATAAAAATTTGCAGAGGAAAGATAAAATCGATAAACTTGACAAGCGGTGTCGAGTGGTGATCTTGCGGGGCCATCTCTGTCAATCTATCCTCCTATTTATAGCTGTGAGTGAGTAACTGTCGTAGAAAAACTGTCTCGGATAACTCCCAAAAATAACGGCTCCCTGCTTCCTCGGAACGTGACTGACGTGTCCTTTGAACGTGGGAAGAGTAGCAGTTATCTCTCAACTGCCTAGGTACCTCTCTTGAAACCGTCGTAGGATTTGGAGTGCAGCTCGCCTCATAGCTCACGGTCATGGACTTCTTACTCATGTCCATGGCCCTCTTGGTACTTAATCACTAGTGATATAATACTCCACCACCATGTGATTCTCTTTCGTGTCCATGGCCCCTCTCGTGAGGCGGCATGGCCTTCTCAGAATTAAATTGGGGGTATCAAAATATAAAATATACATTATAGTGATTAAGTTGTAATTGAATAAAATTTGAGGTATCAAAATAATATATTTTTAGGCAACAGTAACTAAGCTCCAACTTTATATATAATAATGTAAGAAATATCTATCATTCCATAATCGTTAAATTATATATTTGTATATATCTTGCGTAATAGTTGTAAAATATCATCATTTATTTGTATTTTATCCATTTTCATCGATAATAATCATTCGAAAATATCAAATCATCTAAAAATCAAGTTATTGTACGAGGTGCTCAATCTTACTTAATAATGTGAAAGAATAATTAAATTATTTTTGTATGTACCCAACACCCACAAATTTGAAGAAAAGTGAATCCCAACGTTAGAATATAAGAAAACCCCAACAGCAACGTCCCAAACAAAACATGGTTTCATATGTACTATCATCTATTTTGTCTTACATTTTAGTACCTAAAATTTTCCAGTTTTACAAATAGGTCCAATTTTTGCATGTGTAGTTAAAACACCCTCAAGTAAATGGATATCCATATCCAACCCATACCCATTTAGATTATGGAAGCAATATTCATACATTACCCAAACCCATCTACAAACCCCCCCAAACCCATATGCACTTCACCCATACCCAACCCATTATCAATGTGTCTACTTGGGTTTGGGTATAATTACCAATGGGTGGGTAATTGCCATCCCAAATAGCTACTAACTATGGTACACAACTGTCATTGTTCACGCATCACATGTGGATTGGTGGATTTCTCATAGTTGGTGCTGCTGCGCATGCAGCCATTTTTATGATAAGAGATTATGATCCAACCACTCGGTATAACGATCTCTTAGACCGTGTCCTTAGACATCGCGATGCAATTATATCACATCTTTACTAGGTATGTATATTTTTAGGCTTTCACAGTTTTGGAAGGCATCACCATGTATGTCCAAGTAAACACTAACAAGTGAAATAACATGCCAGGTGAACATGAGCGCATTGCGCTTAGAAAGACAGAATAACGTCTCACAATAGATTGTGAACCGCTTAACAAGTGGGACAACATGTCGGCCCATCACGACAACCGTCAAAGAAGAAGTGCCTTGCTTAACAAGAGGAAGTAAAAAGCGGCCACACTTTATTTGAAAAATTGCATCACAATAATAAAAAAAAAACAACGAGGACACATAAAATGTCCATAACATGGAGAGTACATAATATTAGATATAAGAAGTTTGAAGGACAGATCAAGCAATTCTGGCAATAAACGAAGAGTGCAACAACACAAAGAAAAAAAAAGCCAACACTAAACATCCTCCGCCCCTTAGATAAGTGCAGAAACAACGTGTAACACATTTATTTAAGTATTACGTAAAAAATATTTATCATTCCATAATCGTTAAGTAATATATTTGTATCTTAAGTAACAATTGTAAAATATCATCATTTATTTGTATTTCATCCATTTTATAGATTATGATCATTCAAAAACATCCAATCACCTAAAAATCAAGTTATTGTACGAGGTGCTCAATCTTATTATTATGAAAGAATAAAAACATATTTGTTATGTACCCAACACCCAAAAATTTGAAGAAAAATTGTATCCCAACGTTAAAAACAAGGTGACAGTCTAGGTGAGTGATACAATGTTGATCAGATGGTTGGTAAATAGTGGCCTTATTAAATGATGTTGCGATACGTACATCAAAGGCCGGAAATCAATCGGTACAAGAATATAAGAAAACCCCAACAGCAACGTCCCAAACAAAACATGGTTTCATATGTACTATCATTTATACATACATATATTCATATCCGACCGTTTAGATCATTGATTAATCAAGAGTTTGACAATTGTGCGTTATTATGAGGCTGTCAACACAAGCTTAATTATTGGTCATTTTCTATAAACCACCGTTTAGTTCCCGCCTTGTTGCCTTTATAATAAACCCCATGGACCGATCAAATTAATTAAACCATAAACATGTCTCAAAACATTTTCCTCCTTTCTCTCCTTGTTTCTCTCTCCGCCGCCGTCGCACAAGTGATCAACTTCACCGCCATCAATACCACGCCGGAAACAGCCGGCGGTGCCATCTTCACGCGCCAAGTCGGCACCAACTACACCTGCCACGTCATGTCCAACGCCACCAATTTCATATGGACGAGTGTCTTCCGCGAGACCACCAACGGCAGCCGGAGAGACTTCTCCAACGTGACGTTGCTGGTGAAGGACATGGACGGCGTGGCTTACACCTCGGACAACGAGATCAGCCTCAGCGCCCAATACGTCGGGAGCTACTCCGACGGCGGCAATGACGTCAGGCGTGAGGTGGCTGGAGTGGTGTATCACGAGATGACGCACGTGTGGCAGTGGTTGGGTGGCGGGCAAGGGGACATTGCCCCGGGTGGATTGATTGAAGGGATTGCGGATTTCGTTAGGTTGAGAGCCGGTTTGGCCCCGCCGCCGGGTCGTTGGGTCAAACCGGGGGAGGGCGATAAGTGGGACCAAGGCTACGACGTTACGGCTATGTTTTTGGATTATTGCGACGGATTGAGGAACGATGGGTTCGTGGCCGAGCTTAATAAGAAGTTGAGAGATGGTTATAACGTAACTTTTTTCAAGGAGTTGCTTGGGAAGAGCGTGGATGAGCTTTGGAAGGACTACAAGGCTAAGTACGGAAAGTGAACAAAACAAGTCGTTATTAATAATGGGGTGATGGGCTTTCACTGATATGCTTTGTAAATGGTTAATCCTGATGATTTTACTTCAGTCTGTGTGTTCACGCAAGAATTAGAATAATGATTGGTCCTGGTTATCAACTGTTAATAATATAATTTGAGAAATGATATGGGACAAAATCTTATACTACGAATCTCATATCTATTCTTTTATTTTAATCATATATAACGAACCAAAATTCATTAGAAAACAAGGAGGAGAGAACTTGTAATTTCGCACCCTCTATTTTTTACTTCGACACAAAATTCAAAAGAAAGAGGGAAATTTTTCACTTTCTTAATCGGGTCATATTCTTTTTTTTTTTATAAGGGTGATATATGTTTCATTTTGTTGCCATTAAAGTACTACTTAAGGGATTCGAACCTGGGACCTCCAGGTTCTAGGATAGTGGTATTACCACTAGGATAGTCATATTTACTTTCTTTTAACTCATAAATTACAAAATTTGCATATAAAGAACGTGTTAATTAATATCTGTACAATAATATCCATTTTGTTATCTTTTGAGAAAAAAAAACTCTTGATACAAGTGTTTATGGTAGTATTATCCACCGGTGGATAAGGACAAGGTAGAGAACTGAGCCACATTTGAAAAAAGGCGAAAAGGGCTTGGCGGTAACGCGAGAAACACTAAAACGAATACAAAAAATTGAAAATTACAAGTGCTATACTAGCTCAGTAGCTCGGGATCTAGAGGAGGGCTGGACACTGACCCAGGGCGGCCCCTGGATCTGCCGCTAGTATTATCAGAGCATATGGCCATGATATGATATTGATATAATGACACATCTATTTTATTTTAACTAAATATTTCAAATATTTTGCACAGAAGAAGTCATTAATTATGAGTTACACAATAATATTCAGTTTTTATATTTTGATAAATATGAAAATTAGAAATAAAAACATGAGTTTACTATATAATCTTATGATTATCATATCATATTATCAAATGGGGAGAAGCTAGGGTGCTAACTCCATAGGTGGCTAGCACCATCCTAACTAACATCTAAATCGTTGATCCTTATTTTAAATCTGATGGTTACAAATTTAGAAAGAACATAAGTTTTGCTGTTATAGAATCACTCCTAATGATATATTTGAAAACAAAATATAAATTTTGAATGTAATTCTAGTTTTCGTGATAAGGACCGCAATTTGTGGGTTCCATTGACAGGCTGTTTATATTTTTTTATTCTGGGGGAGAGGGTTTACTCTCCATTTTTTGTGATTTGGGGATCTTCAACCGAGAAGGTGTTTGCGGGGTGAGGTATTATATGGCCGGCGAGGTCTGAAACTCTAGTAAAGGGCACCACCAGAATCACTACTAATGATATATTTGAAAAAATCTACTAGGTCCTGCAAAAACTGGACAACACTACCAAAATTCCAATAAAAACACTACCACCAAAGATCTGAAGAACACTACTACTTGCATCCTCGAGAATTTCGAGGGTATACTGGCGTTGGAAGAGGACAACCCCATCACGTGTGCGGGCGAATTCCATGCCCAAGAAATAGCGAAGAGTGCCCAAGTCTTTAATGCTAAACTTGGCGTCCAAGAAACGCTTGACTTCGTTGATGAAAGGCAAGTCGGTTCCAGTCAAGATGACATCATCGACATAGATAAGTGCGACAACAAAAATGCTCCCCCGTTGAAAAATAAACAAAGAATGATCAGCTGGGGAAGAACGAAAACCAAGTGAACAAAGAGCCGCTGTGAACTTTTGATACCAATTACGGGAGGCTTGTTTAAGACCATAAATGGACTTGTGGAGCCGACAAACTCTGGTATCTCCAGGGGCAGCGAAACCAGCAGGAATCTTCATGTAGACTTCTTCCTCAAGATCGCCGTGTAAGAAGGTGATATTCACGCCAAGTTGATGTAGATGCCAGCCACGACTGACGGCGACTGCCAGAAGGTAGCGAACTGTAACCAGTTTGGCGACAGGCGCAAACGTATCATGGAAATCAATTCCTTCAATCTGCATGTAGCCTTTAGCCACAACTCATAAATTCCCAGATGTTTGGGCCTTGTGCGGACACGGTCTCCACGCCGCGGAGCAGGGTCGGCTGGCAGAGCTGGGCCTGGTGATGGTGCGGACGAGGAAGGCCCATGTGGGCTCATTGGGCTGAGCTCGTCCCTAGAATCCGGCACATGTGAGTTGTCCCCAGAATCCGGCCCAGGTGAGTGCGGGCTGGACTCAGTGGCAGTGGGGCCCGAGTTGGGAAGAGGCGCAGTGGACGGCCCAAGATCATCCAACAGGGCCTCATCTTCGGAATCTGACGTCGGGGGAGTGAAGACGGGTCGTGGTATCCAATGGAGGCGATTGGACATGGCCGGCTGAAAAGGGAATTTGTCCTCGGGAAATTGGACATCCCTTGACGTCAATATCCTTTTGGTACTAAGCTCATAGCAACGATAACCCTTTTGACTAGGTGCATACCCAATGAATACGCATGCACTTCCACGCTCTCCAAACTTGTCCAAGGATGCATGTGTGTCTTTTGTGTACACTAAACACCCAAAAACGCGGAGGTGTGAGTAGGGAGCTCGTGTGCCAAACAAGGTCTCGAAAGGTGTACGACCAGTGGCTACGGTGGGTAGCCGATTGAGTAAGTATGCTGCTGTAAGGATGCATTCTCCCCAAAAACGAACAGGAAGGGAGGACTAAAATCGCAGGGCACGCGCCGTATCCAGGAGATGTCGGTGCTTCGTTTCGACGACATCATTTTGCTGAGGGGTATCTGTACAGGAAGTTTGTAGTGAGATACCTTCACTTTCATAAAATTCTCGCAGTGTAAGTGTGTTGAACTCGTGCCCATTATCTGCCTGTATACGCTAAATGGTCCTGCCAAACTGCCTGCGAACAAACTGGATGAACATCATCAAGTAACGACCCACTTCAGACATAAAACGAAACAGATAAAACCAAACTCCTCTACTATAATCATCAACAATGGTGAGAAAATAGTGAGCTCCACTAAGGGAAGCCGTGTGATAGCCACCCCAAATGTCAACATGAATCAGTTCAAAACACTATTTTGTATGAATAGTGCTTGAAGAAAAAGGATGTCTAGTCTGCTTTGCTCGAATACATGAATCGCAAAGTTTATTTGAAACCGAAGTAATAGTTAATAAATCATGCAATTGCTTAAGTTTAGACAGAGAAGGGTGCCCCAACGTAAAATAGTCTCATGTAGTAGAGACTATCTCGCAACTCACATTTCCCAATCAATTTCTTGGAGTTCAAGTCCTGTATGACGCAAATTTTTTTGAGAAAGATTAATGCAACATGGTTCTCTCTAGTGAAGCGACTTAATGAGATTAGGTTACAGCGAAATTCAGGTACGTGTAAGACACTTTTAGCTGAACTCCTTGTTGTAGATGAACACTGCCGATATGCATGACAAGGACACTGGCCCCATTAGGTATCCGAACTGGCTGCCCATTCTCATGTTTTACTTTGTCAACTAAGAGTGAGTCATCCATAACAATATGTTCGTTACATCCAGAATCAAGCATCCATTCAGTACTCATGGAAATCATACCTGCGTGATGAGCTGCGCCTTGAGCAGACTGTCCAAAAAATTCTTTCAGCTGCTCGAGTTGGGCCCGTGTGAACCCATGAACTGGGTTGTGGTCATCCTTCAGATGGTCAACTTGGGTTGCGCGTGGCTGTCTATCCCGCACGAAGGAATAGCCTTCACCTGATGGGTTACGGCGAGCTGTCTGCTGCTGATCACCCGTCTTCTCCCGTGGTTCGCGTATAGGGTACCCATTCAGCTGGTAACAGACATCCCTAGAGTGGCCAAGTTTTTGGCAGTAACTGCACTGAGTCCGATCTTTGCCGCCTCGCGTATTTCCAGGGGTTGCATCTCCCCGGACAGCAAAGGAAGCAGCTTCGAGCATGGTTCTATGGTTCTGCGAGATTAAGCGCTGCTGCTCTTCATTGATGGTAATATTGAAAGCTTCGGCCAGTGTAGGAGTTGGCTTTATTGCCAGAACTTGAGTACGAACGGGTGAGAAGACGTCGTCATGACCCATTAGAAAATCGGACAAGCGGCTGCTCTCTTGCTGTTCGCGGATACGTTTGGAGACTTCGCACGTACAGTTTCCACAAATACGTATAGGTAGAGGAGAGATCACTGAGGATTCTTCCCAAAAAGAGCGCAACTTCGTATAGAACTCTGAGACGGAGTTCTTCTCCTTGTTCATGGCTGTTTTCAGCCAGCCTTTTATCATGGCATCACAGCAAATCCAGGCGCTTGTTGTGCAGCATCCGCCGGCTTCGCCAATGAGCCATCTACGAAAGCAAACTTGTTCTTCGCAATGAGCGCATCCTTCATATCAAGGACCCACTCACCGTAATTGGATGAGGTGAGGACGTCACCGACCAGCATCTGGCCTGGTCCGTCCGAGTTAGGAAGGTGGTACACCGGCGGGAGTGTTGAGGACTCGTCGCCAGGTTGGGTACCGTCAGAAGACTCCGAAAATCCTTTGCCCATCGTGTTGATGATGAAGAGGATCTAGTGCTCTGATACCATGAAAACTAAGATAAAACGAGAGCGGAAACAGTAAGGAGACAAGCAATTACGTGGTATCCCCGACGAGTCGGGACTAATCCACGGGAGAAGGTTAAGCTCTCCAGTTACTAATTTTATTCACTTGTTATCTTCGGTTATAGGCGAAGGCCTATTACAATATATATATATGCACCCTGTCTACACATTGTCGCAACCGTCCCTCCGGGGGGTCCGATGTCGTCGCGTCGGCTGTTTTTGGGAGTCGCCATCGATCTTACTTGGAGTGGATCGAACACTCTTTGGTTGGTTCTAACCTTAGGGTCAGAACCGAGACATGGTCTACGAAAATAAAGTTCTGGGTTCGGGAGTACGGTTACGTGTGGGGAAGTTAAGCAACACCCCCACAACGCCCTAAATCGGTACTACTTAAGTTTGATAAG